AAGCTGGAACGATTCCCCCCACTCTAAAATCCTTTCCAGAAGCTTTTCCTCAGTTAATGGCCTGAATATATCCTTTTTGCCAGGAGTTCTGCCGCACTGGGAACACACTCCCTTGATCTGCTGTCCCTACACCATGCCTTTAATGTGTGCCGGAATTCACTCCTGCTTCTTTCTTGTACATTGTTCACTCCTGCTTCTTTCTTGTACATTGACTCCACCGCTGAGTACTCGGTGTGTGGTCCTCGTGTCTGCTCCAGGCCTGGCCTTTGCTCTAATATTGATCCCTCTTGCTTCTAGATTTTCCACCATCTTTTTCTGACATTTCCCGATAAACAAATGTTTATTTCTTCCCTTAAAAAACAAACAAAAACAAACAAACAAAACAAAACAAAACAAAAAAGCCCTAGCCAGATTTGGCGGCACATACCTGTAATCCAGCACTTAGGAGATAGAAAGAGGAGGATTTAAAGTTCAAGGACAGCCTCAACAAGTTCTAGGCTAGCTTGGGCTATGTAAGACCCTGTCTTTGAAAAACAAAGAATGAATACAGGGCTTCCTCAGTCTTCAGACATCCCAAATCACCACTGTATGCGCTTCACCTCTTTCCATGCACATGGTGCACAGGACGGACTTGGCTCGCCAGCCCTATTTCCCTGTCATTTACTTTGTATTTCGCTCATAGCCTTCAGACTTGTGATCTTCGGTCTCTAATACTGTATTGAAAAACCTAAGCACTTGCTTTGAGATAAGACCTGCATTTTTTTTTCTAGAGGATTTTTAATATAGTATTCTTCTGAATCCAAGATGGCCCCTAGGCAGGCACCTGTTGCTTCTAGGACCTCACTTCTTCCGGCTGCAATACTGAATGTGGACCCAATTAGGTGTTGTGGACTATAACGTGGTGTCTTTACTTTTCACTAGGCGACTTCCCTCGTCTAATGTGGCATGGTCTCTGTCCATTCACAGTGACTGCTGGCTGAAATTCAAGCCACCAGTTCATTTGTCTTTACATGGTCCTCCATCCTCTCACTACTATAACATTTCATCTCTCATCCTCCCCTGGAACGAGTCTTTCTTCATCCCGCCAGCTCCCAAATAGTAACATGAAAACTTATTAATTATGAAAGCTCAGCCTATAAGCTTAGACTTATTCCTAACTAGCTCTTGTAAGGTAAATTGATCCATTTATTTTAATCTACATTCTGCTGCGTGGCTCATTACCTCATCTCTCTGTACTGCTAATGCTGCTTCCTCTGAGTCTGTCAGCTCCATCCTCTTCCTAGAGTTCTCTCTCTACCCTGAAGCTCCACCTATACCTCCTGCCTAGCTATTAGCCATTCAGCTTTTAATTACACCAATCACAGCAATACATTTTCACACAGTGTACAAATATCCCATAACCCCCACCCCTGTGCCTCCTCTCCTTCTTTCTGTACTTCTCTTAACTTTCTTGTTCTAGGGGATACTTGATTATTTCCTCTGGGCTGTTTCCTTTGCACTTTTTTTCCTAAAGAAGATATATTTGTCTTCCCATGGCTCAAAGCCTAGGAATGGAATAGGTATACAACTCAGCCCTTCTCAATGCTTTCATATACCTGCTTCTTTATAAACAAACAAACAAACCATTGCCACTGATACTAACAATAACAAAAATATAGTGCCAGGGGCGGGAGAGCCTACTAAGAGAACAAAGGGCTTTGTCTCACAAATGTGAAAAAACTATGTTCATTTCCAGAACCAGATAAAACCAAAAACAAACAAATAAACAAACAGGTGCAGTGGCATATGCCTTTCGACCCAGTGCTGGTGGGTGGAAATAGGTGCATCTCTAGGGCTGGCTGTCTAGCTCGCTTACCTGGACTAATTTACTTAGTGACCTCCAGTGGGAGGCCACCGGGAGACTGTACCTTAAAATTAAATGGATGGGGTTCCTGTGACACTTGCAATATCCTGAGGTTGTCTTCTTGATCGCCACATAAATTTGATTATATACACATACATGCATGCACACCTGTACACACACACACACACACACACACACACACATTCTTAAAAGAACTTAATCAAGTTCTTTGTTCTTCATACTTGTTTGCTTTATCTCTATACGTATTACTTTCCAATCTTCTAACTCTCACTCAAGACTTTAACAACTGGGTCACTATCTTCATCTGCCCATTTCAGTCCACACATGGGAACTTCAACATAGCATTGTTAATTAGAGTTCCGTTGTTACCCTTTACTTTCCATGAACACTCTTGCTAATGTCTTCTCCCAGACTTAATTTACTACTGATTATATTACCAATTGACTTCAACCTACACATTTCTTCAAAGGTGAGCATATGTTCTAGATATTTCTATGTGGGTATTTCATGGAACATCAACATCAAAACATGAATTCATGATCTTCTTACCAACTTCATTGTGTTGCTGTTATAATTTTTTTTTGTCATATAGAATCAAAGCCGACCCAGTCATACAAACCAAAGTTTGGGGGATTATTCCAGATTTTCTCTTGGTGGTCACATTCCCTCAGTACTAGCTTCCTAGCCTACACCTGTTGTCCATGAGTTCAGAGGTTCTGTGGTCTGTAGAGAGTCCAGTAGTACTAGGGAAAGTATTCCCGGGTTGAAATCACAGATTCCAATCCATAGCAGGTAGCTGTCTTTAAGTTTCTTAAGTTTGTTGTGCCTTGTCTTTCTCATCTCTCAAATGTCATATAATATAGCCACTAGGACAATCAACTGAGTTATGTTTGTTGGTTAGATTTTGTCAACTTGACCCCAAGTAGAGTCACCTGGGAGGAAGGAACCTCACTCAGTTAAGGAACTGCCTCCATCAAATTCTCTTGTGGATACGTCTGTGAGAGCATGTTCTTGATGGCTGGCTGATGTAAGAGGGCCCAGCCCACTGTGGGTGGTGCCATCTCTGGGCAATTATTTCAGAACAGTAGCTGAGTAAGTCGGAGGAACAAGCCAGCACTCCTATGGTCTCTGCTCCAGCTCCTGCCTTGGCTTCCCTTGATAATGGACTAAACTGTAACCCAAATAAGCTGAATCCTAGTCCAGACTGGTTCTAGTCATGGGGTTTACCACAGCAACAGAAAAGTAACTAGGCAATATGTGTGACCCCGAGAACATGGTAAGTACTCCACAGCTTGTAGTGGTTTGGATGACCTACATAAGGGTGCCAGCAGGGACAAACATCTGTAGGAAAGAAATCTGAAGAATAGCTACTTTTTGTTTATTTTGTTTTGAGACAGGGTCTCTCTATTATATAGCTCTGGCTATCCTAGAACTCACTGTATAGACCAGGTTGGCCGTGGCTCACAGAGATCCACTGAGCTCTACCTCCCAAGTGCTAGGATTAAAGGTGTGTGCTACCATGCCTGGTTTGGACATCTGCTTCTTAACTAAACCCTCAACCAATCCTTTTTTATTCAGCTGCACACCACACCCTGACCTTTGAAGATAACCCGTGCTTCTAATTACTAGAATTTATAGGTTCTTGGGAGCAAATTAGTTTGCTTCATATAGGCTTTGCTTTTGTAGCCACTTAACTTTTTGTGCTGTACACCTTTACTATCCAATTGGTAGGTGGCTAGTGGATTCCTAAAATGTGACTTGCTAGTGCTACTCAATTTGAAATAATATTTTGGGTATATTCATTTAAATAAGACTTACTTTAAATTAATTTCACATATTTATTTTAAGTCATTTAATATGGCTAATAGGAATTCTTAATTGTGTTTCAACTGGATGGTGTTGTTGTGTCCTTACACAGTTTGACCCTTCTCATCCTGTTTTCTAGCATTCTCTTTAGTCTTGAAGGCTTATACCCTTTTTCATTTTGGGACATATCTAGGGAAAAACAAAGATAAATGCATGTGTTACACCCTTCATGTTTAACTGGAAGTTCCCCCTGTACTTTCCAGGGCGTATTTCTGAGATCTACAGTCTCACCACTTTATGACTGGTCACCAACTGCACATCCAGCTAAAATAAGCTACTGGTAGTTCTCTGAACACGGCCGGAAGCTTGAGGCAGGCGCTTCCTGCCTAAATTTTCTTTGCTTGCTTTTCATGGAATGCACCCCTAATCCCTCTCAACTGTCTGCCTATTAAATAAAGAGTTCAAATTTGACCCCAGCAGAGCCTTTCCTGGCTCCTCTTTGCAGCTGAGCGGAGTATGGAGTTCATAATTTTGCTTAGATGCCTACCTGTTTCTCAGTGGAACCCATTTGATTGATTACGCCCTGTGATGCTAACTTCAGAGTTTAATATGTACTTTAAAACTAAAAGAACATTTGCTAAAGGAATAGAGAGAGACAAGTGACATAAAGCCAAGGTTTGTGACATGAAGAGGCTGGCTAAGTTTCATAAGGACAGTTGTTCTAAGCTGTTTTTTCTGATGAGTTTTTGACAGGTGAGGATGACATCAGGTATCTTCCAGGAATAGGAAACAGAATGAACAAAAGTCCCCTCGAAACAAGAAAATTGGTAGCAAATGTGTCATCTAATTTCCAAAGAGTGTTGGTAAGACTAGATCGTGCAGGCCCATACAGTCAGATAAAGAAGTATGACGTCGTTCTGAAGATCATAGTAGGTTCTGTAAGGTTTTGAGCTATGGTGAGAGCTCAATAGTCCGTTTTTGTTTTATCGTCTTTGGTTGTAGATGAGCTGTGGAAGCGATGTGCATGAATGGAAGCTGGGAAAGAGAGTTCCTCCTGCAAATGAGGCAAGGGTTTAGAGGTGAACAGGGATAGAAAGGAACGCAAAATCGCTAGAGGTCTAGACTCTAGGATGGCCGTGCCTGGGTGACAGGTGGATGCGGAGCGAACTGAAGGACGTTAGGGTAGCTTACGGTTGCCACACACCACACCGCCCTAGGGTACACGGCGTAGCGGAGGGTCTTGTCCCTCGCGCGCCGCCGTCTGCGCAGTCTGCGGGTCGATCGTGAACCGGCTTGCGCGCCGCGGTTCCGGTTCCGGTTTTAACTCCTGGGCTCCGCGATACACAGCCATGGCGTATTCCACGGTGCAGAGAGTGGCGCTGGCCTCGGGTCTCGTCCTAGCCGTTTCGCTGCTGCTGCCCAAGGCCTTCTTGTCCCGCGGGAAGCGCCCGGAGCCGCCGGCGGACCCCGAAGGTGAGCGCCGGGGATGCTCGCGGGCGGTCTCGGCAGCCCAGGCCCAAACCAGTCTCCTCACTGGCTGGCAGTCATCTCGTCACCCGTGCCTGAACAGAGTCAGTAGGAATCTTAGACGGTAGTGGAGTTTCACCTTTGTTTTGGGTGCTCACTGGTTCAGCCGTTTGTTGCCTCTCATAGTACGACCTGATCTGATGTTGGGGGTCCGCACCTGTGATACTGCCAATCCAGAGTCAGGAAAGTAAGTTCAAGGCCAGCCTGGCCTGCTTAATGAATTTCAGGCCAGCAGGGCTACATAGTAAGACCCCGTCTCAAAATAACAAAAAACATCAAAAATTTTGTTCAATAATTTAAACCATGCTTTGTTCCTGAGGTAGAGATAAGCAAGTTACTGTACTCCTTATGTCTGTTAGTTCTTGTTTTTTGGGCATGAGTGTGACGCTTCAAAATCAGCCCCCTTGACTACTACATTCTGGAAGTTTTACAGACTCTGTAAATGCATGGCCCTGAATGCTGGGAGAAGGGACTGGAGCAATTCGCTATTGTTGGCCAAGTTCTGCTGGTAACTTTGTCTTGTGAATAATCCTGTACCGCCATCCTTGAACCATGTGAACTGTCTGAACAGTCCCTCTGATTTCAGCTCGTTGAATGCTGGACAGCTCCCTTTGAACTGTAATCCTCTTTGAATTTGTGCATATTAGCTGTCCTTCCATCCTCGGAGCATTAGAGATTAAAAATACTATAAATGCAAAGCGCCATGCTCCAGGGGCTGAAGGCAGGTTGAGCACGTTATTCTGCCTGCAGAATGTGTTTGATGAGCTGTGCTTGTAAAGCTGCCGTTGCCCCTCCTTTTCTGTCATTACAAAATTCAAAACGTTTTGCTTGTTTTTTTCCCTTATCAGTGTTTTTTGTCTTGAAGAGTGACAATCTTCAAGATCATCTTCAAACTCTGTGATAATCCTGAACTGTGGAGAGTTGTAAAACCCCCTTTCCCTGGCTGAACTAGCTTAAAGAAGTACTATGGAATGTGAGTGGAAGACACTTCTGCTTCTCAGTGTTGCTGGGTATAGAGTTTATTGTAGTTGTGACTGCCTTCCCTTAAAAACCCAGGTACTGAGATCAGTGTTCCCATCTTGACATTTTTGCCCTTTCTATTTTCTTCATTCCTGAAATGCTCTTCTCTTGCTTTCTTCTCATCATTTAAGTGTTTGCTGAGATGTATCCTCTGTAGACTTTGCCTGATGACCCCAGTTAAAGTAAAGCTTCCCTGAGGACCGCTTTAAAGGCAGTCTTGACTGACAGTTTTGGTACATCCTATCATATGTCATGCACACAATGTGCGGATGCTCACTGCATTCCAAGGAACACGAGTTAAGTCCCTGCTCAGGGTTTTATAGAGGTTTTCCTTTCTCCCCACCTCAAGATCTAATATATGTACCATGCAATTTGTCTTTTCAAGCGCATGAGTCAATTTTTTTTGCATATTTACGGTTGTGTAGCCATCACCCCAATGAGTTTTAGAACATTTCATTGCCCCCACCAAGTTAATCTGTTTTAGCTGTCATTCTCTCCTCATTTTCTCATCTGTAGTCAAGTGCAGCAGTCATCTCTTTCTGCCTCTCTAGAATTACCTGTGCTCTTCCTAAATGGCTTTCTGGTTTGGTTTTTTGGGACAGAGTTTCGCTGTGTAGCCTTGGCTGTCCTGGAACATGCTCTGTAGACCAGGCTGGCCTCACTCACAGAGATCCGCCTGCCTCTGCCTCTGAGTGCTGGAATTAAAGGTGTGCACCACCATCATTTGGCCTGACTGGCTTTTTAAAACTAGCATAATGTTTCAAGGTTCATTTATCTTCTAGTATGTGCTTCGTTTCTTTTAAAGGCTGAATGCTAGTCTATTGTGTTGATAGGTCACATTTTACTGATCTCTTTGTTAGTTAAGGGCATTTAAGGTTTTTGACTTTTTGTTTGTTTGTTGCCTTTCAGCTCTTAGGAATAATGCTACCGTTTGTTTAAAGATTTCTGTGTGGATTGATGGTGATTGGAATTAAGAGTGTGACTTCCTAGTCTTACAGTTATATTTTACTTTTCGAGATTCTGCCACTTTACAGGCCTACTAGCAGCATACGATGGTTCTGATCCCACTGCATCTTGCAAACCATAGGGACAAGTTGAAATGACTGTAGCCATCTTGGGTTGTGACTACCATGGTTGCCCTTGAGGAATCCCAGTGAACTTCCTTTAGAGTGGCGTGTCAGACTGTATGAGTAGAGCCTAGTGCTGTGATGTGCCTGCCATCTTTGGCATTAGCTTAAGACAAACATGGAGTGTTCTTAGGTTTGGAGAAACCATTATATCCTGCTGGTGACAAAAGCATCCTTCTTCTGATCCAGACAATGGAAAGTCACCGGTCTTTTTTGGGGATGTACTTTTTGGGTCATAGTTCTGTCAGTAAGTCCCAGATAAATGACACTGCAGTACTGGGTCTGTCTACCTTTTTTGGTCTCATGGCACCTTGCAGCTGGTGTCACATTGATTGCATGCCCTTCTGATTACAGCTGCCCTAGTGAGTCGGAAGTAGCATCTCCTTGTGGTTGTATTTGTATCTCTCTGTCTGTCTGGTGGTTGATGGCACTGAGGAACTTTGTGTGTGTGTTTGCTTTTTGCATATCTTCTGTAAAGAAATAGCTACCCAAGTCTTTTATCTTTTAAGAGCCGGGGAGCCTGTCATTCTGTTGTTGAGTTGTATGTATTTCTCTATACTCCATTTACTAGTCCATTATCTTCTCCTATCCAGTGTGTTGTGCTCACTTTATTCAAAAAAGGAAAGTTTTAAATTTTGATGAATCTCATGGTTTTTTTTTTTTTTTGGTTGCTTTTAGTGTCAGATATGTCTAAGACAAATAAATAATTTTCTTATCTGACAATTTATTCCTATGTTTGCAAGTTCTATTATTTATGCCCCTGCATTTACATCTTTGTGCCTTTGATTTTTTTTTTTTTTTTGGTGTATGATAGGAGGCAAGAATTCAACTCCATATAGGGTGTATAGTTGTTCCAGCACTGTTTATTGAAAAGACTGCTCTTTCTCGTTGAATTGTTTTTGGCACCTGTAAAACTCAGTCAGCTATAAACACAAGTTCATACCTACATTTTAATTCGATAGGCTATACATTGCCCTTTTGAAACTATGAAGTTACAGTCCCCTAGGCTTTTCTTTTGCAAGATTAAGGTATAAGATTTCCTGTGACCAGCATTTCAGTGTTAATTTTATGACCCTTTCATTAATTCCTGAAAGAAAACAACAACAAAGAGCCACAAATAGCTGGGACTGGAACATGAAGGCCGGCTTGTTGGTGCTCCACAGCTGGCAAGACCCAAGGAAAATCACACAGAGGACTCCATAAGATTATAAACTGATTGGCCCATTAGCTCAGGCTACTTATTAGCTCTTATAACTTATGTTAGTCCATTATTTTTTATCTATGTTAGCCACATGGCTCAGTACCTTTCTCAGCTGTGGCAGCTCACATGTTGCTTCTTCAGTCGTCTGGGCAGGACTAGGAGGAATCAGCTTCCTCCTTCCCAGAATTCTCCTGTTCTCATTGTATCACCCCTACTTCCTGTCTGGTTTTCCCACCTATACTTCCTGCCTGGCCAATCAGCATTTATTTAAAACATGATTGACAGAATACAGACAATTCTCCCGCGCCACGGGACTTTGCTAGATTGTATGGAATCAGTTTTCAGAATATTGCTATCTCCCCAATGCTAAACTTTACATCTGTGAACACAAGATTTCTATATATTTAAATCTTTTTCCTTCAAAGAACTTTTTTTTCAGTATTAAACCTTTATTTTGTTTAATGTACCCCTATTTTCTTTTAAGTGCTATATTGTGAATATTTTGAGATTGTTCCTTGTTAGATGATAGATACATGATGCTTATGTGCCAAGCCTGCGTTTTGCCACTTGCTGAACTTGTTTCTTAACTTTTTGAACATAATCATGTTGTTTTCAAATGAAAGGGTTTTACTTTTTATTCTGATCTTATATCCCCTTTGTTTCCTTTTCTTGCTTAACTAGACTAGTTGGAGTCCCTAGTACTGTGTAGAATAGATGTGATAAAAGTCAATATTCTATCTTGTTTCTGGATCTCAAGAAGAAATTTCATGTACCATTAAATATAGTGTGGGTAGGAGTGATGTAGTTGTCCTTTATCAGACTGGGGAATTTCCTTCTGTTCATAGTTTGTTGAATGCTTTTGATCATGGGTTGGATATTAGATTTTACCAAGTGCTTTTTTTCTGTCAGGATGATTATGTGGTTTGCTTTTAATTTCATTAATATGGTATTTACATTAATTGGCTTTCAGATATTAAACCAGCCTGGCATTCTTTGCCTGAAATGAAGAGGCAACTCTAAAGTGTGTGTGTGTGTGTGTGTGTGTGTGTGTGTGTGTGTGTGTGTGTTTCCTTTAAGAAAAACTGTTGAGGTCTAGGACCCAACTTGAGAGTCCCCTGAGGCCCTGATGTATAGAGAAAACTATAGCTCCTTCTCGAAACCAGGAATATGCTTGGTAGAACCAGTAAATACATGGGGCAGGGCCTTGGGTGAGCTGTGGTTTAGGATCCTGAGAACCCAACTTGTCTACCCTAAGGGGCTATGGTTATCTGTCCCAAGGCCCTTAGCTCCCTCACCCACTCTCCATATACTGTAGTTGGAAATGGCTGAACACAGGCTACATTAGAAGAGGCTTCTAGAATTGCAAATAGCAGCAGGTATAAAGCAGTCTGCTCCTGAGACAATCATATGCTTTTATTCCTTTTTAAAAACTATGAACTGAGTTTGCTGTGAGTTTTTGGCAGTCTCTCTGCTGACCTTGCTGCAGTGTATGAAGCTCCAGGCTGTTTTACTTCCTTTAACAGTTATCTAGATTTGTCCATTTTGTACTGTTCACATGGCATTTTGGAACCAAATATGGGACTTTGTAGTTTTCTCTG